TTATCCGTATGCCTTATGTTATAGTCAGAAGCCACTAGTCTATGTACCTTCCCCCCTCCAAATTATAATTTGAAAACCCCTCGCAGAGAATTTTAACAAGGCAGCTTCCATATCTTCGAGTTGTGAGACTGGTTATCACAATACCTTTAGTTTGCATCTTCTGCTCAACATAGACAGCCACTCCTCTTCTGTCCTCTATCATTTCTGGAAATGCTATACCCTGTAAAATGTATCAGTGAGTCTGCAATATACGAATTTAACCATGCCTCTGTAAGGACAATATCTGATTTCGTCTGATCAACTTCCAAAACAAATAGAACGAACTTAGACATTAGTGATGATACATTTATGTATAGAATCTTCGGGGAATAAGTTTCAACTTCAACTGCCTTTGCTAATTTTTCTGCTGAGAAATGGGATGACCGCTGATAATTTTCGCTATACCTTTCCTATATTTTATAGTTGCTTCCGGGTCATAATTCTGTCATTTCTGCCAGCTCTACTCTCAGCTCCCTAATTTCCTCGCGCTGTAAAAGGGTCTGATCCTCCCTAAATACAGTATTCTGTGGCAGTTCCTTGTTCCTTCGTAACAGCCCATTTACGAGTTTCGCTGATTTCAGCATACGTAATCTTGTAGGCTCCCTAACATCAAAATTGTTACCCAGCTTGTCTACAATATTAGTACCGCTCTAGTCAATTGCTGAAAAGAGCGATCCGTTCTAAATAATCACAGAACCTCGATTTCCAACGCCGTGTTGTCATTTATTCAAAACCACAGGGAATGTCTGACAATCAATATGGCTTCAGGAAGGCGAAATCCACAGTAGATCGTCATCGACATCGCACGCAAGGCTACTGAGGGCAAACTATGGAAAAGAGGCGCAAAGAAGTTTTGCGCTGTTGTTACCCTCGACGTCAGGACCGCATTTAATTCGGCAAGGTGAAATTCCATACATGCTGCGTTTTAAAAACAGTTCTGAATTATATTATGAAAATAGTGAGAAGCTACTTTGAGGAAAGAACTTTACTGTACGACACAGATCAGGATAAAGACTTCTGGTGGTGTTATGTATGAGTCCGTTTTGAAGCTCCAGCCGGAAGACGCAAGGGCTATTGGACTTGCTGGCGATGTTGCGGTGGTAGTGGTCGGCAAATATACATAACAGGTCACGTACTTTGCGAACGAGGCGACTCGGTGGTGGCTAACGTCGGTGAGGCTCCAGATGGCCGAGCGTCAAACGGAGGTTGTGTTCGTGTCAAGCAAGAAAGTGAAGGAGGGTGTTACTCTCAATGAATGGGTAATAAAGTAACCTCCCAGCAGTCACTAAAATACTTAGGAGTCCAGATTGACGCGAGACTGCACTTCGACGAGCACTTGCGTATAGTCTGCAAGAAAGCGTCCCGCATGGCCTGCGCCTTGGCACGAATTATACCTAACATTGGGGGTCCAAGGCAAAGTAGCCGGAGGCTACTATCTAGCGCGGTGAACTCTATTCTAGTCTACGCAGACCCCATTTAGGCTGATGCATTTGGGATCCGGTCGTACGCCCGCGGTACGAAGTCAGTGTATAGAAAATCCGCCTTGAGGGTGGCCCGGAGGTTTCACACAGTATAGTTTGGCGCTGTGAGTGTGATAGCTGGAATGCCCCTATAGACCTCATGGCACATGAAAGGGCCAGGCTCTACAGGCGTAAGTGAGAGAGAACTACAATTAGGAGGAAGAGAGAAACGCGCTAATGGCCTAATGGCAACGGCGATGGGTTTTATCATCCTCTGGCAGGACATTCATCTCATTCTAAACGTAACAATGTGGACTCAAAGGAAAGACGGAGATGTGGATCATTATTTGACACAGTTGTTAATGGGGCGTGGGTGCTGCCGTACATACCAACTGAGTTTCCGGTTGGACGATGACCCCTCGTGCCCAACCTGTGACCCATTGGTTGAAGATGTAGAGCACGTATTCTTTCACTGTCCGCGCTTTGTTGAGGAGATTGAAGAACTCCACGGACTCCTCGTGCAGGTAGTGGCTCCTGAAACCATCGTCACTAGGATGTTGGCGTCACAGGAGAATTGGAGTGCGATAGCCGCAATAGGTTTAAAGAAGCTTCGGGTGCGAAGGAGTAGAATCAGTTATATCAGTTGGCATAGAGCGATCTGCCTTTCCCATGATGCAGTGCCTGACGGCGGTTCCGCGGGAAGGGAATGGGAGGGGGTTTTAGTGGGTTAGGCACAGGCTAGCTGTGAATCCCCCACGCTGCGAAGTGGCGGGTTCGCAGTGGTTTGAAGATTCCCCTGTCCTCGTAAAGAATCGCGCCTGCGCGCGAGAAACCGCGCGCGCGCGCAGCATCCACACGCAGCGCACACACGCACACACACGCATCACATGCATCGCGCGCGCGCGCAACACACAACACACACACACACCTCAAGCTCCTCATAGAAAATTTAGTGAGCGAGTGTTTTTTCGTCTCCCGATTCGGCTGCTCCCGTTGTCACATGGTGCGCAACCTGGGTCTCCTAACATTGTCGTAGGAAATGCGGGTGAGAAAACGATTGCTCAATGGCAGCTCGGTTCTTATACAAATTCAATTTTTAACTGAAACTTGATGGCTGCGAAGAGGTAGGTCTTCCAAGTGATGATGTATTCTCCAAACATCTGGCGCCCAGATGTGCCCGTCCATTGCTAGCTTCGGTGAAGAGGCCGCTATCCTCGCATACCAACACATTGTAAACCATACTGCACCCTCAAAAGTGCAAAATTTGCTGGCTGTCTTTGCAAATATTGACTCCAGCATTAAAATAAAATATTTCACCCAGGGCAAATATCAGGCCTCAGGGAGTCGTATTACAAATTTTACAGTACAAATTTGAAAAAATGTTTTCAAGATGCATACTTACGCAATATAGCATTATAAACCAGTTGCATATACTATTTCCACATTAATCTTAGTGATATTATCTTTTGAAACACACAAACCATTTATATTTCCTAAGAAATCAGAATCTTCCTGACACTGCTGTCAGTGAGTGTAACTTCACTAATTCTCTTCAGTAAGTCATAATAATAAAAATAAACAAACTCTTCACCCTCTACTGTAGATCTTAATATCTAATATCTCGCTCTGATCTAAAAGTTGTCTATTTACTCATTACTCATTAATTCTATCCTTGCAATCTTCAACATTAATCTATTATTCTTCATTACTTAAGATTGTTTTCCAGGGTTTCCCGTAAATCATTCACCTTATGAATACCTCTGCTAGTAATTACTTGCTCCTGTGATGACAGTTAGTTAACCCCAATATGTTATCCTTAATGTAATTTCTTTTATTTCAAAGTTTGACCACTAACATTATCGCTAATAATTTTTGGTTTTTCAATATATTTTTCTACAGCAGGACAGGAAATTCTTTCCGCAGTGGCACCCTGTGGGTGAGATTGCTAGCAACATAAATTTTTGGTAGCATGAGCTGCAGCTTGTAACAAAAGAAAATGTAAATACCATACTCACCAGTCATTACAGATTACCTGATTATAGGGTTAAGCCTTTTGAGATCTTATGTTTTGACACTGTTTTGCATGACAAGAAACTCAAATACTGGTGTAATACAATGCGACAAAGGTGAAGAAAACTATGTATCTGAAATAGTAATTCATTATATTTGTGGACCTACTTTTGACATCCTCCATGAATTTGCAAAGCTATTCAGACCAGTATTTTTGAATGAGCTGGTAAAGGGATAATATCAAACGAATGGCATTGTAGTAAGTGAAATGCAAAATAAAAATGGATAAAAATTATTGCTGAGATTTTGTCATTTGATAAGCTGCTTGACAAGACCCATTGGTTCTCAGTTTGAGTGTGAACCTGTGTTTTGCATGAGATCAAAATGAAAAAAAATTCTCTTTGACAGGAGTTCACATTCTACATCCATCCACAGACCACTTCACCACTCACTGGAAATGTTTTTTTACAATTATTTATTCCTACATACTGTAAAAAATTGTAATATCTGGAATGGGTGATAATAACTTTGTAAATACTCAATAATATAAACAAAAATTATTTAGTTAATTTTTGGTGAAAAATTAGAACTTTTAACCTGCTTAAATGCGTACGCGCGCGCGCGCACACACACACACAAATTATTTCACAAACTTCCAGAAATGCTACCACATCAACATTCCAAATATTTACATGAATTTTGAAGATTTTTTGGAACAGAACATGATAAAATTAATTAAAAATAATTATTATGCTGTATATTTGTTTAGAAATCATTCCAACATAGAGGGCACTTCAGGCAATTCCATCTAATACTGCTTTTTAAAAATCACAGAGCTTTAATTTGGGCCAGATCATTGAGGAACATTCATTTGGGGTTCAGGTGCAAATGATTCATTGATGGTCAATGGATAGGTGTGGAGGGAAAACAAAAACAACAAGAAAGTAAAAAGCAGTGCTTATATGATTAAAAAACCTCCTTGTGAATCCTTCCAGACTTTGCCATCCATTAGTTTCTTTTTCGCAATAACAATAGCTGGTTACTGTTGAATGATTAAAAATTTCTGGCTTTAAAGAAGTTGATAACACTTCTTCAGTCTTTGTACAGCCCTGATTGGGTACCTCTAGAATGCTTTTTGTTCCTGAGGATTAAGACAAAACTGTAAGGAAAATGTTTGGGGCCTGCTCCTGAAGTTGAGGTTGTGGTAGAGGTTTCTGAAGAATTTTGAACAGGACTTCAAAAATGTTTTGATCAATTGCACATCTACAGGAAGTTCTGTATTAGTGCTAAAAGCAATTGTCAGGAGAAATTGCATATCATAGTAAGTATGTTTGTGTAGCATTTCCCTTTGCAAGATCAGTAAGCACATTAACAAATTGGAATAAAAGGCAGAATTTTTAGGGTAGAAATGGGTAAAGAGATAACAAAAATTAAAAACAATGAAAATGTTTGATTTGTTGTTTAACTGTTTTGTGAATGTTTCTTTGCCAGATGGTTTGGGCTTGATCAACTCTGAAGAAAGCCCCATGAGCGCAATTTCCCAAGAAGATGCTCTTGCCATCTTTAAAGACTCTAAAGAAGTAGGAGGAGCAAATGAAGAACAGGAATTGGATGTAGATGATTTGGTGAGTGTGATTTTTGAGGAGAGTAAATCCTTCAAATAATAATTTTACTGGTGTTCCTAGGAGGTTAAAAATGGAAAATCTATAATCTTATTTATTTTATTTTATTTTATTTTTTTACAGATTGACGAAATGTAATTTGAAACAAATCAAAGTTTGATGCAGTTTATTCATATTTTCTTATCCACAGTAGGTGATATATTCATCAGATATAATGATTACAAACTTCATACTTTTCCAAGTAGGAAATTAAATTTACAATTCAGCTAGGAAGTGTTATAAAGATGATGATGGATTTGTGATCCACTGCCACTTAGTACCTGTGGAAATAACTTTTTTATCTTTAAAGAGTTTTTGCAAGTGATGACCCACATTTACAGCAGCAGCCAAATGTAAGTCCTCTGGTGTGTCCTGCACAATGAAACAAAATATTCCTTTAAAGGTGTCAATGAAGAGAGACAGTAATTCATTTATTTAACAAATTGTGGTTCATCACAAAAAGAAAAGAAAAAACATGCTGTATGGAGAGGGCTTTGTTGTGAAATTGTCTGAGGGCAATGAGTGGTAATTAAAAAGTTTATGTACACCATAAGAAACAAGATCCATTTGAAGATATTTTGAGGAGTAGACATGAAAAAGTCTCAAAACATGTTTCCCAGAAGAAAATATGTATGGGAGGTCAATTTCATTCCAATACACTCAGGTCAGTTTCTTTTTAAACTAACACTTATAACACATTTTTACTTTCTCATATAATAGCATAGAGAAAGTAATGTAATGCTGCACAAAATTTATGTTGTTACTTTGACAGAAATACATATTTTGAAATATCAAAAAGGTGTTGTTTCATCTTCTTCTTCCTCCTTAAAATACGTCTGTGAACAACAGTGGCACCTAAACCATTTACAGGAATTTCATCAAAATTGATTCCCCCCAATCAATCTGGCTGATGTCAGGGCCTATTGAACTTGAAATGGATCTTGTAAAAATATTGTAAATTACATATGACAGTGTTGAAGATCCATTTAAAATTTTTTTGGAATACCTTGTACAATTTCATTTTTGAGAAAGAAAGATAATAATTTGTTAAAATTGTATTTCAAAATTAGAACTTTAAAGAATGTCATGTACATTTTTTGTGAATTATCGAGTGAAATCAAGAGAATTTTAAAAACAATACATACAAACAATGAACAAGATTTTTTTTTTAAATGGCTCAAAATTCAGCAATAATTGCTTAATAACGTAATATACTCTATCTTCATTAAAGCCTTTGAAATTTTAAAAATTGGGAAAGTTTAGGGTATTTTTTAATTAAAAATATATTGAAGGCAGGGTTATTTTTTAACATAATATATTTCTCAATATTATATCTTCAAATCGTTTTGTGTACACTTTTTTGAAAATATTTGTAATATCTGCATAATTTTGAATAATATGGATTCCTTGTTTTGAGTGATAGCTGAAGTATTAGTAAGACAGAAGGTGCAATATTACGTGACCCAATATCAATTATATGAGAAAGTTTATACAATCACCAATAGTTGTAATTCTGTAAACTGTAAGGGCAGGAGTCATAGTGTATGCATACACTGGAGGGTTTGAAGTAATTTTATTGAGGGTTGGAGGGAGGGGGTTAAAAATTACAACTTTTGTGTATGTGATGTTTGAACAAATCCATGTGTATGGTTTATTCTTGTTTTTTAATCCTTTGGCAAATTATAAAGCACCATTGTTCAAAGAGAGTTTTAAGAACTTTTTGAGAGTAAACTATTTTTCTATGATGTAATGTTAACAACAGACACTATTGTGTTATACATTTCACTGTATTTTGTGAATATAAATTTCTTTATTTGATTAGAAACACAATCTATTTGTAAAAATGTTAAATACAAGTGCCAAGTGTGTATTTAATAGAGGTAAGTGATATATCAACAACAAGAGATAGTATGTTTCTTGTGTCAATTTATCAAAAGAAACAACAATTTGTATATTTGTGCAAGTTTCTCAAAAATCATGTATATAATCATTTAGGTAAATGGATAAATATGTGCATAAATAATATTAAAGAAACAGTAAATGAACAGGATTCAGAATTAAATCTACATACCGTATATATAATTTTGACAATGTCCATTTCAGTAAATTTCCTGTTAGGTTCTCTTTGTAGCACATCCAGAATTTGTTTTTCCCTGTTATTTCTATGATGTATGTAATACTCAATTTTAGGCATTGGATCCTGCCAAGGACAGAAGAATAGCTGAATTTAAATTGACATTGATTGATGCTTGTTCTTACTGGAAATCCTTTTTACATATTTTAACATGATTTTATAAATTTCAAAAAAGTACTGAAATATGCTGAATTTTAGAATTGGATTCATTGAAATGCGAAAAAATAATTTTTGTATTTTTACTCACTGATACAACTGGGCCATGCCCTGGATAGAGAATATTTGGGTTAAGTTTCAATATATTTTGTAAAGAGGCCATATAATCATGGAGATCTTCAAAAACAGCTGTTCCTTCTCCCAATATGCAATCGCCACTAAATATAGCTTTCTCTTCTTCAAGCCAAAGAATGATATGGTCTGTTGTGTGGCCTGGAGTGTGTACTATCCTATAGAATTGAATAAAATCTTTAAGCTTAAACATGAAAAACATCACTACCAAATGTAATATTTTATTTATTTTCAATTTAACAATTTGTCCAAATGATTACATAAAGAATAGGTCAATAACTCAAACTGCAAGTACTCCAAGTACAGTTCATATTATTAAATCTAGATATGTCTATATATGTGATTATAGAAAACAAACTCTACAACACTACAGCACTTCAACAAAAAATTAAAGGAATAGGAACATAAAAAATACACCAATTTTAAGTATAGATCACTTTTGGCAGTAATATAAAAAATGAACAAAACAAAAGAATGAAGCACATATAATAATATAACAAACATTAATTGCATAGTATAAGAAATCATTCCAACATGTGATTTCATTGCTGAATTCATCATCATTTGACAAATCAAAATTTTAATTAAACTTACATATTTTCTTATTAGGTAATACTAGAAAATTCTCAGTTTCTCTAATTCATTATACGATTATTTACTCTTATAATTTATTTCTTGATATTCCATTTGTAAATTGTTTTATTTCCCTTTTAATTTACTTTAGGAGGGCAACTCTGGGTACAAATTTAGCAGAAAAGAATGCGTTAAGATATAATAGCGTGAACACTGAATTCCTTTATCATTGCTATTCTGTATTTAACTTCAAAAATAGTCAGAAATAACAGGTAACAAATCGATGCAGCAACTAGGTTTTATTAAAAGAACCTGGAAAGAGTTGTATTTGTTTGAGGTTCTTAAAACTGTATATTATCTCCTTGGTTGTCCAATTAAAAAGAAAAAGTTGTTGCACCTTTGCAACATGTCTCTGAGGCATGGAGTAATCCTCCTCTAATCTAGTTGGTTAACGTCAATCATTACCTTTTATCCCTTCAGCCAGGGGCTTGGCGCAGTTAGATCCCAATGTTCCCAGAAAGTCACCCAATAAGGAACCCTCAAATTGTTTAACTTCTGTGACTTCACAGAGTGCAGTTAAGGAATTCGGCTAGCAATGCTGGATTTCAGTGATATGATCACCATTGTTTCAGCACAACATAAAAAGGCTGGAAACAGCTCAGCATAATTTTTTTAGAATCACATCATGGAAGCAGACTAGGAATTCGCAGACCCTTTGTAGATCACAAATACGAAAGACATTACATTTTTGTACAAACTCTGTGACAACTATTTGGACTGTTCTGAGCTGGTTAATGAATTGAGGTTTAATGTTCTTAATGGAATCTGCCCACAAAACCAAACCTTCAGCATAAACTTCTCTAGGTCCCACTATTCTACAAACACTGCAACAACAAGAATGTGTAAAATGATCTGTGGTCTTGAAATAGGCCTGTTTTAATGTGAATATTTCATAGTTTAATTTATTAATCACAAGGACAGGGAAAAAGTATATCATTTTATATTTTGTAATAGTACAGGGATTTTTTAGTATTCATGTACATTTATAAATATTTAAAAAGATTGTTGTGCACTCGGTGACATGTTGAGCCACTTGGTGCTCTTCATTTGTCCCAAAAATTTGCTAACTTCATGGCATGGCATGTGTGTATTTCTACCATCTTTTGTTCAGTGTTCACTTCTAGCTGCTTTGGACTTTTTTGAGTTTAGTGATCAAAAAGTGTGTATCTCTGAAAACTTGCAGTTACATCCTAAAAGAACCAACTAAGAAAATAAAAAGCTACTGTAGTCTGGGTTTTGAAGGAATGTGATTTTCAATTTTCTCCAAAAACTAGCTATGTCGTCATTAGTCAATCACTGACATGACAAGATATCCATATTGATTGTCTTATAATATTGCAATTGATGTGGAGATTTTCAAAATCCAGAAAATAAAAGTTGCTTCTAATTATATTATGATTATTTAGAGTTCAATACCCCCCCCCCCCCAATATAACAAAACATTTATAAGGAGTACAAAACTGTTTTACATTTTTACTTCCTCGCATACATATGTATTGTAACGTTTCTCAGTGGTGAATTAAAACCCACACACACAGGTATTTAAACAATATCGTTTATTCGCAACAACGATACTACACTAAAAACTACTTGATCTATTTACAAATATATTACAAAGCCTTTGTGTTCTTCAATTGATTATTGTTCTTACACACGACTCCGTTCTCTTGATTATTTATTTGCACAGTTCACTTCTACACTATCACCCAGTCCGATGCACTGTTCACGGTCCACTGCACCGCGATTTCTTCACAGCTAAGCTTCCACTGCAACTTCAAACTGCTGTTCCCCACTGTTTACCGCGATGCACACTTCACAGCTCAGCTTCCACTTCAGACACACTGACGGACTGACTACATACAGTAACTGACTCGCGACTGCTTACTTCCGACTACTCTTACACTGACAATACACCGACTTGCGGCCGCCGGCAGCGGCGCAGTTATACCTTGCCGGCGCTCGTCTCGACACACCCGGCACTTACTCCACCTTTCCACGCGACTCGCGAAGAGTCCGGAACCGTCCAGTTCGGGGGACGGAGGGCGCCGGCAGATGACGCAATCCGCTAAGCGAATTTCGGCAGGTGATGAAATATTCGTTACAGTATATACGGAGTAACATATGTCGTATAGAGACAGTTGTAATGCTCCGCAAAAAACGACAAATTTTCGGCAGAAAAAAATTCATTGCCGGGCCCTATTAACGAAAATGTGGATAAATCTAGTTGCTAAATTAAGAAGAAAAAAATCCTCTAACACAGTGTAGCCAGAATCCTTATTTTGTGGATCCTTGATACTAAAAAATCAATTTACAGCAAAACATCAGTCCGTCCCTCTGTAAACACCACTAGCGCCTAAACCATACGAAGAATTTTTTCCCAAATGGATATACCCCGGTCCATCTGGCTCCACGATTTTGAAAATCTTTCTTCAAAATTTGGGGGTACTTTTTCATGAAGCCCTCCGGATATTTTCAACATTTTCTGAAAAACGGCACCAAATTTTTTCTTTAAATTTCTTGTAAGGATAGAGTAAAATACACTTATAAAGGAGACATAGGTCCAATTTTTACTGTGAACTCTGAATTTTCGATAATTACAAAAGTTTGAATTTTTCAGCGACTTCCAACAACTACAAAATTAGATAGAGATTTTATCCTTGAAATAAAAATTGCTGACCAGAATTATTTCTCTTATTAAGGTCATGAACTTTTTTTGAAAATTTTCATTGTTTTCGCACAATATGGCATGCAGTATGTGCAATTAAAAAAATAATATTTTTTTCAAAAACGGCTCGACATTTTTTTCTTTAAACTTTAGGTAGGGATCTCATGGATAGTGCCTAATGTACTCTATGAGATAACATAAATTCAATATTAATGTATTCTTTTGTTTTCAAAAATTACAAAAATGTAATTTATCTGACGTCTTTCACGTCATTATTTACATTAGCGGCGATTTGTTCACATTATTGCAATTATAAGTACATATGCTTTAAATATTGTCATAAAGTTTGTCAGAAACTGAAAATTTTCTTTGAAAACTAACTCAAAATTCCGCATTTTCAGAAACGCTCAATTGCCGTTTTCTCAAAAATGGGTTCAAATGGGGGGTTTTCCTCAAACGTCTCGTGAATATAGTGCTAATTGCACTCTTTGAGATGACAAAAGAATGTCTCCAGCTGTTAATATTCTTTCCTGCAATTTGTGAACACTTTCATATTTGTATGTTGATGTGTTTAAAATGGTTTCAAATGAAGATTTTTGAAAACTAAAAAGTTCTCTGTGAAAAAGCACCTCAAATTTCGCTTTCACAGTGATGCTTAAACACCATTTTCTTAAAAACAACTCAACAAAACAAATTTTTCAACAAAAATTCCCATATAGGACAAAGTTTTACTTTTCTATAATATTGATTAAGCAATAGTGGTTTTAGGAAGCTGAAAAATTAACAAACTTTTTTCAAAGTAAAGTACTTTGGGTGGCAGTAGATGGCTGCTGGGAAGAGTATGTAGCAAGTATGAATAGATAGCACCGACCAAAGAAAATAGAGAACTAATATGAGAATATCTGAGCCATTCTGTAGCACCATTAGTTAAAAAGTTCTCATGAAGATTAGCCCAACACTTATAACAAAAATATGAGGTGAAGTAAATTAATAAAGAATCACTTTCCCCAGAAGGCATGTGATTGTGACTTTGAGGGAGATAGTGCCAAAGTGTCTGGTTTAGATGTGATTTTACGAATTAGTGATATATTTTATAATTCAAGGAAAGCTTGTTTGAAATTATGAGATGCTACATACTGAACTGTTATTCTGCATTTTCATTACTCATTTTATTACAACTGATTGTCTTTTTTTGAAATGAAAGATTTGTTGAGAAAAAGATCATAGTGTATGAAGCACTTGAAACTTGTAGGATAGTTTTCTTTGTACTCTCAACAATATTTAAGTATTACCTTAATGTTGCTCCTTCTGTTTTGAATTCATCCCCTGGTTTTAAGTATTTCACTTGTATATTGTCTGGAAGAGGTTCATCGGAATTGTCTTGTTCAGATCGTGGCAGCTTCCAAACATTGCAATCTGTGGGTAAATATATTTTCAAATGACTATAATTTGGAGTCTTGTTTCTTCTTTAGATATGAATAGTAGGGGTGGTGGTGGGGGTAGAAGAGGCAGAATGCAGATAAAGGTTTCAAAAATTCTCATCATATTTGGGGCTGGACCGCCATACTGACATTGAAGAAAAAAATTGTGGTGTATTTGTAAAGATATGAAAGACATGATCCAAAAAGATAAATGTTTTATTAACATCACAACTAATGAGATGTACTAAATGCTGCTATCTGAGCCTTCATCAGGGTGACTGTATGTCCTATACTTAAGATATGTCTCGGCTCTTCTGTCTTTACAATTTTGCCATTTAACAGAAATATTCATCAGTAAAATATAAGATTCCATCATCATAGAAGTATTTGTGGAACAACAGAAGTGTTAAAAGACAGGCCCCATCCACTTCAAATTCTACTTAATGAATGGATTTGTCAGACAAATTACTTTCCAAGTTTAATAAGGTAATATAATTGTCATTGTTGTTCCAATGAATAAAGAATGTTAATTTAACCTTACATTATTTTTGCAATTGTGTCCCGTTTTTGTCTTAAAGAAAAATGGTCATCCTACCCTTCAATTAATATTCTTTAATTTTTTTTTCTTCTATCACTTTTAAATGAATCTTCATGACAAGTTAAATATGCAATGCTTTCTAAGTTACGTAATTATATAAAATTAAAACATTGACAAACCTAGCAAAGAAATTATACAAATATTCATTATGATTAGAACAAAATAATTCTTTCCTTGATTCTTATCTGAACTTTCTGTACAAAAGTGTCCCTTAAAAATTTAATTTTCGATTTTTAGTTCTGATACAATTAATCAATTTGATGCAAAACTCAATCTACTAGATTGTGCAACATCTCAAAGTGTCATGCATATTTAATATTATCACAACTTAAATAAAAATTACTAGAAACGTTTTTGACCACATCTTTGACACCTCCAATGTGGTCATGGTGCCAGTGCGTTACAATTATGTGCTCTAAATCTATATTTTCATCAGATACAACAGTCTTCAAATTCTGAATGTATTGAGGTACATCTGAATCCCCTGCATCAATTAGAATTCTTCTGAAAAACGAAAGTGCACATTTAGGTGATTTAATACATTTTGAGGTTAAGAGACATTTTATGTGACAGATATCAATGAAGCAAAATTCGTTCAACATGCTTGAATAAAACCAACCTCTTTCCTGTGCCAATAACGTATGTATTAGTGCCTTGCAATGTCATTCGTCCTGGATTGCATCCTAATATTCTAATTATCCTCGAAGACAACTTCGTAACAGGTGGAATTATTGACGCCATATTCGCACTCATTTGTTTTCTACACTACTTTTTTACATATATTACTGCACACATTGCTATAAACAATAACGAAAGGATTAGTAAAATAGAGCATAATTTTATTTAATTTATAATGTTAGCTTGATATATCATTTTGATCTGCAACATTTGTCGTGTGTTAGTAACACATTTGATTTCAGTCTCATTTATCGCACAGCTGCTTCTTCACTTTGCCATCAAAATGGCTGGCACACTTTCTAGGTGGGCTCCTTTGCCTAGAAGTCACTTGGGTAAGTCATATTTGAGATATAATGCCATTAATGTACTTTGGCAAGTATCTACGATAATTAAATTTGGGAATGGAGGTCACTTGACTAAAAACGCACGTTAAATTGATGATCCACTTTTTCTCCGCTTTTATCCCAAATTAGCCTCTAATTCTGAACTTCACATATTGTTTAAAATAATTAAATGATACGCTTGGACATCACCTTTTACCAATGAGTATTTCCGTAATGCATATTGTTGTTGACAGGTTGTTTGAGCTCCCCTTTCTTGTCCTGTGTTAGTGTGCGGCACAATACCACTCCACCAGCAAAGGTAGGGTTATTTCAAATCATAGAAAATATGCCATTACTTTTATTTTTATTTAAACGAAGAATTTCTTTGTTTCGTGTAGAGTCAGTATGGCCCTCTTAAAGATGAAGATCGTATATTCACTAATTTATATGGTCGTCATGATTGGAGGTTGAAAGGTGCTATGAAAAGAGGTGACTGGTATAAGACCAAAGAAATTCTTGAAAAGGGAGTGGACTGGATTTTAAGTAAGTAACATTTAATCTCATATTTGTGAATGTTTTGAAAAGATACAGCATTTGTCATTAATTCTGGGTGCTGATTCTTGAAGTTTTAGTGTGTGTCAAGTTTAGTTTTTTAGCAAATACATGCAGAAATGTATGTATATTACCAAATATGAATAAAAAAAGTGATCAGTGTGAATGCCTGTGAAAACTTTGGGAGGGGTGGTTTTATAAAAGTGTACCTTTTTTATTAGCCAATATGTATATAATTATTAAAAAATAATGTGCTCCAAAAATATACAATAACAAATATGTTTATTATTTAACAATAATCTATGATATGCCCCCAATGATCACGTCGATCCGCCCTTGAAAAAAAACTAGTGTACCTATGCAAGGACTCTTGCGTGTGGTGACTTGGTGCCTTTCTACATATGTTTGAAAAGATAATTATATTACCAAAAAGTGTTTTAATTGAATTTTGCATTTGCAATTGCTTAGATGTTTCAACAAATAATGTTTGCAAAATGAAGGTGCACTTAATCCTCCTCCTTTGCAGTTCTTTTGTGTGACATTGTTAAATGATTTGGATGTGAGATCAACAAAAGATAAATGATATATGTGATTTATCTTTCAGATGAAATAAAAACCTCAGGTTTAAGAGGTCGTGGTGGAGCTGGTTTCCCCTCAGGAATGAAATGGGGGTTTATGAACAAGCCATCAGATGGCAGGTAAATTAAAGTTTTATTTACTATTACTCTCTGGTGTTATGATGAATTAGCCATAAATGCAAAATTAATAAAATAATTTTATTATTGTTAATTACTGTGGACAGCAACAAAACAGTGGATAAGATTTACTGACTAATTCTCTTCATTTGCTGAAGACAAAAATGAATGAAGTTTTTCACCATCTCTCTCTCCTTTTACAATCAGTAGTTTGTGCTGTACCAGTAAACTGGCAAATTAACAGTAATGTTACTATGTTGTATGAACTTGATTGTAATAAAGTTGTAAAACTCTTCAAACATTAGTGATACATGGGAAAATATGCATTCTTGCAGTATGTCAGGTGTGCTGTTCTGAAAAAGGTTAAAATTTAGTATACGGTACACCTTTAGAGAAGCGTGGTGGCGGGGCTTAAGCCCTAATTACTGTTCGTGCTCTAATAGAAATGAATAAAACTTACGGATAGGCGACTTTCATGGTTTGGGCCTTTGGCCCTTGCATTCACTATAAACATCCTTGAGTCTTTCCAATGCATAATTACCAATTCACTTTTATAAGACATCACTTTTCAAGAAGCCTCCAGAATTCTAACTGCCTAGTTAATGACGGAACGGCGTGAAGTGCTGATTTAAATGACTTCCTTAGGTTGTACAAGAGAGTATACACCGTATGGTTTGTACCGTATACTACATTTCAGCCCTGAAAAATTTCAGAATTGCTAGGAAGTAAGAAAATTGTGAAATTATGTAACTATCAACTCTGTAATAGACAAAAAAAATTATAGTGCAGGTTGCCCTCTAGTTAATTTTTGTGGTTACTGTAAAATTACAAAAATTTAATTTAATTGTTATGGCCCATTTTTTAATTACGGACTGTTCTGAAAGCATTTTTTGAAATTACAGGATCTGTAAATAAAACCAAATTTCCATAATCAAAGTAAATAATGACTTATTAAGCTTATTTACTCTTGGAATTATAGGCTCCAATGTGATTTTATTTAACAGGCCAAAATATCTAGTAGTAAATGCTGATGAAGGTGAACCTGGAACTTGCAAGGACCGGGAAATTATGAGGCATGATCCTCACAAGCTTGTGGAAGGTTGCTTAATTGCTGGCCGAGCAATGGGTGCTCAAGCTGCTTACATATATATCAGAGGAGAGTTCTACAATGAAGCATCCAACATGCAAGTTGCAATTTCTGAAGTAAGTTTACCTTTGAGTACAACTGATTTGAACTCTTTTAATTTAATCTTCTGTGGCCATAATGTTTTGGTCAAGTTTTAAATTTCTCATCTCTCTCATTGTGCACTCAGCATTTGTTGATGAATTTTTTCCCAACAATAAGAAAACCCATATGTTTTCAATTTGTTTTGTCAAATTTTTTTCTGTCTTGATGTCACGAGAGCAATCAGTTTTATGAGTGCAAATAGCACATATTTTTCTTTAAAACAAGCGGTGAATCTAATGTTAGGCAATATTGAGACATTGTGGCATTTGTAGGTTGCAGACCAATCAAGTTGAATTTACATTTCTATGTTAGATTATTGTTTTTATTTCTTTCTTTTTGTCTGAAAATGTGTACTTGTATGTTATTTTATGGGATAACTTTGATTGGAAATAAATGCACTCTTAATATTTTTTTCTAGGCTTATCAAGCAGGCCTCATTGGGAAAAATGCTTGTGGCTCTGGATATGATTTTGATGTATTTATGCATCGTGGTGCTGGAGCTTACATCTGTGGAGAGGAGACAGCTTTGATTGAATCTTTGGAGGGTAAGCAGGGAAAACCTCGTCTGAAGCCGCCCTTTCCTGCAGATGTAGGTGTTTTTGGTTGCCCCACTACAGTGTCCAATGTGGAGACGGTCGCTGTGGCCCCGGTACGTACCTTGTTTGTGCAGTTATATTTACTGTAATTACACTAAATTATTATCTGCTAATTCATCTCTAATGAACTTGTAAAGGTTAGAAACTGCCAACACTGCCAACTTTTACTTATATTCTATTATATACAATGATTATTAAAAAGTAGTAAATTATAATTTTTTTCTTTTTTGCTAGGCTATCTGCCGCCGAGGAGGTACATGGTTTGCTAGCTTTGGGCGTGCCCGTAACTCAGGCACAAAACTTTTTAACATCTCAGGCCATGTAGTAAACCCTTGCACTGTAGAAGAAGAGATGTCTATACCTTTGAAGGACCTGATTGAAAGGCATGCCGGTGGTGTGACTGGTGGTTGGGACAACTTGCTGGCTATTATCCCTGGTGGTTCCTCCACTCCACTTATCCCCAAGCAGTGAGTTTATTTGCAAATTACCATATTTACCTGAATATAAGTCAACTCTGAATATAAGACAACCGCCTAATTTTTAAGCGACCTTATGAAATTAGTTTTGTAATTTTGAACTAATTATTATCAATGATATAAAATGAAATTGCAAATTGTGTAATTGATAGAAAATTGACTTGTAGAGAATGTTAATATTATTGCTTGAACTATCCTTATTTTCTTGTTCTTGATGACACGCTAATAACGGTCACTTCCATCTTCTCGTAGATATATCATTGTTTCTTTCAGTCTTTCTCTCATACTGCGCTATCTTCTGACTTTTTATTATCCCCTAAAAGTTTTGGCTATTGAATTTGCATTTGTCTTTCATATCATGCTACATAAGAACATTTCCTTTCGAATCATATTATTTTTTTCCTGCCATCTTCTTAATGGCCTGTGATTATTAATTAGAATGTACATTGTTTAATATGCACAAGATCGAGTTGTGAAAATCTGTTACACCGATTTGTGAGTAACACAGAGGATAGCAGTAAACTTTAAAGTTCAAGGAGCTTTTCCTAAGAAAATATTTTTTTATGATTCTGTCTCTGAGATTGTATGTGGAATGCATACTTCCATCAATACATTTTTTAAATTTTATTTATTTATTTTTCATTTCTTTTCTTGCAAAACAGACTTGCACTCACTGGGCATCGAACGAAGAGTTCATGCGGCTTTGTCGATCAACACAGTGCATAACAAAATCTTGACAATGGTTTTCATTCACTTTCACGTTACATTTCACTTAGTACAATGCCATTTGTTTCATATATTCTCTTTATTGGCCCGTTCAAAACTATTGGACTGAATCACCTAGCAAATTTGCAATGGATGCCAACAATGCATCTGCTAATAAAATTAGTTATTATAGCTAAGTGTGATATTTATTGCAATTACAGCATATAGTTTTGACAGCATTTTATGTTTCTTCTTGACAAGGAAAGTATAAAAATGTAAATTCTAACCAATAAGGCTAAATCAGTGAATACAATACCCTGTATTTTTCTAATAAGATATTTTGGAAAAATAATAAACTTATATTTAAGCTACCAGGAAAAGGGGGTACAAGTCTGAAAATGATCAAAATGAGTAGTCCACGGTCTGATTCCTGAATGCGAGTTCGACCTTTTCATGCTTTCACTATAAAGCTCTTCCAGATAATTATGACTTCTTCGCTTTGTTAATAAAGGGCAAAATGTTCTTCCTATTGTTTGTTCCAAAAAAAATCAATAAAAGGTCTTTCCTGCTAAATGTCATGTTTTTGACTTACACTTACTCTTTTTTCCCTAGCAGCCTAGATATTTGGGGAAATATGGTAATTAAAATAAGAGTAAATAAATGGCATTGTCATCCTGAATTTAGCACCCATTTGAGATGCTATTATCATTGTCAATCCCATAAATCTGCGATTGTATCTTCTGTTATTATACTTTCTTCATGAAGATATGAAGGATTCTCAGTGATAATGGAATGAATCTTGTTTAAATAGCCTTACCTAAAATTGAAAGGAAATTATAATTGACCTTTACTTATTCATTGTTATGTTGTCTTTCACACATGATAAAAAGCAAGAGTAATTGTTAATACATGTATAGTTTTTCTTTCAGTGCCTCTTCCTTGTACAAGTGATGTTAACCAAAATACATTGTTTCTGACAAATTGTGTGTTGTGTTCTCTGCAGTGTATGTGAGGAAGCCATAATGGATTTTGATGGCTTGGTAGCTTGCCAGACCAGCTTGGGAACAGCCGCTATCATTGTAATGAACAAGCAAACGGACATAGTGAGAGCCATTGCTCGACTCATTGAATTCTACAAGCATGAGTCGTGTGGCCAGTGTACTCCATGCCGGGAAGGCATTTCTTGGATGAACAAGATCATTCATCGCTTCATCACAGGCAATGCTCAGCCTTCGGAGATAGACATGCTGTGGGAGCTGAGCAAGCAGATTGAAGGACACACTATTTGTGCCTTGGGTGATGGTGCTGCATGGCCTGTCCAGGTAGGCAGATATTCTGAGACATTCATGAGCCTTCTATCTGTGTGTTTGCTTGTGTGTGTATAAAGTTCATTTCATTACTCAAAATGCAATGTCATTGTCAAATGTCAATGTTCAAATAACGAAATTATTTTAAAATTTCGTTATTATATTTTTTATTTATTTAGAAATATAATTATAAAGATAGAACATTCCCTCTCTTGTTTTTGTAGTAACACCTCTTGTGTTTGAATGTTCACTGTTTTATATGGCATGGCACAATGTCAAATGTATTTGACATGGATCAATGTCAAATACAATGAAACCTCTTGACAAGACCACCTCTTTAAGAAGACCACCGCTTTTCAAGACCATTTCTCTAGGGAAGGATAATTATTCCATGAAAGCAATGTACTTTTTACCTCCATAAAGACAACCGCCCGTCATCCCAACCAACAACCACAATTTTGGTTCTATTGTATCATCATGTTTCCTTTAAGACAATCAGAAAAACTCGCACTGAAATAAATCTGAGAGTTCGCGTACTATTGTGAGCCAAGCTGTGCCCGAAGTCTTTTAAATATGCAACAGTGATTGAGCAGTTGATATTTCATGATAACGCACTCGTACACGCTCGCACTCGTTACACTCTCTGCTCTCGGCTTCGCGCTCTCTCTCGCGCTCTCTCTCGCTCCTGCTCGCTCTCTCTCGCTCGCGCTCTCTCTCGCTCGCGCTGTCTCTCGCTCTCTCTCTCTCTCGCGCGCGCTCTCTCTCTCTCGCGCTCTCTCTCTCGCGCGCTCGGTCGCGCGCTCTCTCGCTTGCGCGCTCTCGCTCTTGTTCATGGCTCTCCCTCTTCCCAACAACGATTGAGTGCAAGAAATTTCATGGTAACTCTGAAGAAAGACCTTCCAGGAAATGAAGAGATACTATCGCTTTATAAAGTTAAATAGCATAGAAAGCAAAATAATACCCCAGGATTAATAAATCACCTTATGTCAATAACTCATTGAATTCTGTTTACTACTATTCTTTTTTGTAGTCATATTAATTAAATACTGTTGATAAAATTAATGGCGCAATAAACTAAAGCTTTCATTTGAAACCAGAATAGTGTAATGGTGCGTATATTAGTAGACACAGCAGCAAAGGGGAGTACAATTTAATAGTTTGATGTTCCCTTTAAGAAGACCATCCCTTTGACAGACCAATTTTAAGGTATTAGTCATGTGGTCTACTTAGAGAGGTTTCACTGCAGTTTCTTGTTGCTTTGTTCTATGCTACATTTCATTTGTTACATGATTGTTGCACTACCATTTGCTAATTTCTTCTGTCTGTTCTTTTCTTATAGTTTTCACATTAAAACACATCCAATTAATATTTTTAATTATTATTTTGCCCTCATATTGCACAGCTATTCACAAGTCTTTATTAATTCCTAATGTTTTCCTGCATCATTCCTGAATATAGTTTTCTATTTTTGGTATAGTTGGTTTAGTTTGGTTTGATATAGTTTTCTATTCTTAATATGGCTCACCTCACCATTGTTGTATTAAGTACATCTTATGTTGGTAAACTGTTCAAAACCTGAATGTATCAAAACTCTGAGAAACATTTTACATATTTTCTGTTTGTTTGTTTTGTGGATGCATTAGAACATGCATTAGAGCTAATGCATGTTATTTATTACAGGGTCTCATTCGGCACTTCCGACCTGAATTGGAGGAGCGGATGAGGAAGTATCATGGAGAAGAACTGCAGTCAGTGGCAGCCTCTGGTTGAGGATGTGGTGTAGATAGTTACTAAGAATTATCTAAAGACCTCTAATGGGACTGGTATTAAGTTCCAATGTCATAATTTATTTCAGTGATCATGAAATTTTTCAATGTAGTGATATCAAACAATGATCCAAATTATATTTCATTGTTTACTCTCCAGTGTAAATAGAAAGTTACAAATCATTACACTTACTTTAATTTGTTTTGTCCAGTGAATTGAAAATTTGCTTTTCAGACATTTGCATGGGGAAACTGTGTTTCTCAAAAGACTTGGAGGTTTGTACATTATTGTACATTTGTTCATTTACTTGAAAATAAAAAGAAATAGATATTGTTTATTTTACTTGTGAAATAATGAATTGGTAATATTCTATTCCTTACACAGAATGATACCAAGAAATAATAAAGTATTTTTTTTTCTCTAAAATACCCAGTCAGTGATATGAGTGAAATTTCTGATTTGTTAGTAGCACCCAATCTTTGCAGTTTTTATTTTCCGAAAACTTAGAATTCTGATAAAGATTATGTGGATTTGTTCGTATTAAAGGCGTATAACAATTGTTCAATAAAATTATTGTAAACTTTTACTTCAATGAATTGACCAGACCTCTGGAAATACAGTAGAATCTTGTTAGTCCTGCTAACCATGTTTTCCCATCTAAAATGTCCATATTTGTAACTCCTGGGCCTAATTTAATTGAATCACTCATTTACACATTTAATAATCACATTTAGCACCTTCAAAATTGATTGGTTACATCTTTCCCTAGTCACTTGTTTTCTGGTGCAATAATTCCTCTTCAATGTGATTTTTACTGGGAACTTATAGGTATATTTGCTGGTATTGTGTCCAATTACAGAGCCAGAGTAAGGTTTTTTACTGGCTCCAACCACCTTAATCCTTTTTCGTTATGTCATATTACCATGCTGTACTTGAATTTTGAAGACTCGAGATAGTCATGTTAATATGCATTGTTTTTAGTGTCTGGATTATTTGGGTGTAATAAAGTTTTCATTCAGTGTATTATTTGTTAGTAAATTAGCTTATACCAAGTGTGTTTGTGTAAAAATTAGTTTCTCTTCCCTATAAAATTTTCTGAAGAAATGTACATTTTGAACATGTTTCATAACTTTTCACTCTTATGACCTGCACAATTTTTTATTCTTAGAAAACATTCTAACGAGATTACGTTCTAACGTAATTGCAGCTCTCTTCTTATAGGTGTTTTGTGATTATTTTACTTTCTCGCACTTACTAACGTAAGAAGAGAAAGTATTGTAATTGTGCGCCGGAAAACTGCGAATTTTCAATACAAAAACTTTTTGCTCACCCTGGTAAGGAAAAAGTGGATAAATCTAGCTTCTAAATTTAGAAAGAAAAAAATCGATGGATGGCAAAAAGTCTGACCATCTGTCTGTGTATAAACCAATCAGCCAATTTTCTCCCAAAATTGTTATTCTACAATTGTTCTAGCTGATGTGGCCCCTGGGATTTTAAACCGATATTTTAATTTTGAGGGGTATTTACTCAATAATGAAAAACGAATATTTCCTCAAATTTTTCCTTTAAATTTCCTTCAGTAATGTAATAAGAGGCTATATAAAAGGTAGTGCTAGTCCCATTTTTGGGTATCGCTCGGGTTTTTGAAAATATAAAACACGAAATTGAAGGCAGAGATTTTTCCCTCAGACAAAGTCTGTTATACTAAAATAGCTCTTAAAAAAAAAAGTAATTTACAATTTTTTGTGAAAAACAGTAGATTTTGCGTATTTTGCGATTGAAATTTACACAACAAACAAAAAAAATTCTCAAAATCCTCTTCACATTTTTTCTTTAAATTTTTTCCTCATATGTAATGAGAAACTAAGAAATATGGCACTGGTCTCATCTTTCTCACTACTTCTTTCGCAAATAGAGAAACTATTGTAATACTGCGGGGGAAAATAGTGAAATTTTGTCTGTCAAACCCTTATTGCCAGGCCCTGGTAACAGGCTCAGGATAAATCTCGTCCCCATATAAATAGTAAATTATGTCCTCTACCACATTCTGTAGAGAGAATCCATGTTTTGTGGGACTTTGATACTGAAAAATTGATTGATAGCAAAATGTCTGTCTCTGTTTGTTGTTCTCTCTGAATGTTCAACAACGTACTCTTTTGATTTCAGTGTAGGTATCCTAAATTTTGAAGCAATCCTACTATATTCATGCATCAGAAAAGGATTCTGCACTCCCAAAGCAGAAGCAGAGAGTCTGAAGAACTTGCGTTGCACTCTTTCAAGACTAGAAATTTCTTTTAAACAGATTTATCCAGGATTTATCCACTTTTTTGTTATGAGGACCCTCCAATAAGTTTGTCTGAGAAAAATGCGCCATTTTTTCTTGCAGCATTACATAACATTCTCTATACTGTGTAAGCAATAGGGAGAAAGGAAAATCCGCTCATTAAAAAATAGTCAGATACATTTGTTTGAAAAAACTAGTAGCTTTTGTGAAATTTATGCCTGAAATTAATGAAATATATGTAGGTGTCCACCAACTATGGGCCATGAGAAACATCCTCAGAGAACAGGAATGATCAAAAGGATATGAAAGATAGTTAATTGAATTTTAATTATAATATACTAGAGAAAATCTCAATATTAATTTGATTTTTACTCTATTCTACGTATTATTCTACTACTACTACTCTATTACTTGTATTCTCAATATATTGATATATTTTCTTTTGAGTTATCCGCAAACCTTAATTGAAATTAGTCCAACTAGGTTTTTCTCTCTTAAAAATCTCATTTAGACGTAATCTGAGAGAAAAATCGAGTATCATAAATTTGTACAGCAGTTTGTTTTTAAATAGGAAAGATAAGATAAAGCAGTTTTATTTACTTAACTTTAGTGTTACAATTTTCTCTATGTTCAATAAAATGGTATATTCAACTTTATCAAGTTGGGAAGAATGTTTATACAGATATACAGACAGTTTATTCATATATAAGATAATGATATTGTCATTTCGAATGCATTCATGATGCGATATATTGGATGACCTTATGTTCTGGATATTTAATTTATATGTGAAATTATCCTTGCTTTCCTGCTTGATATGCTAGAAATAATGTTAGAAAGTCTGAGCTTTTGAAGCACCCCTAATTTTACTTGAAATCTTTGCCATGACATTTACTTTGATTCTTTACATGTTAAACAACTTTGAAAGAATAGGGATTTTACAATTTGGTGAATACATATTTTTTTAATTTTTTGCTCAGCCATAACTTTCACAAATGTACCCTCATGTAAATGATTTTTCCTTCACCTTTGAATGTGTCACTTGGGACTCATCAGTAATGTAATGATTTTCTGATAATATGGTTCAAAGATTTATAATAATTAATGAAGTGGTGCATCACTTCATCCATACAATGCCAGCACCTAAAACACAGTTGTTCTCAAACATTTTTGGCTTGTGGCACACTCTTTTGTCATGGAAAATACTACAGTACACTCATGAAATTGAAAACAAACTGGAAATCTGGAAAAATTTAGTAATAATGGAACTATTTCAATTCCTACTGAATATTTTCAAAAATGCAAATATTGGATTATGTGAATCCATAATTTATCTTAACCTGCTATTACAACTATATTCTCATACTCAGTGCATCCCTGCTTACAACACAACTAACATGCAATGAAGAAAGAAGCTTCAGAACAGTCAAATTTCACTGCTCCGGGTCCTCACACACTCAACAGCGTTTTTTTGCAGGTGCAGGCATCTAGTTAACACAATTTTGATATTAGTATATTAGTTTTACACTAGTTAATATATCATAAAAGTGCTGGATTAAGTCTAAGAATTTAATATATTCTGACATGGGGTGATCAAAGTGAGTGGCTCTTGTGATCTGTTATGTTCCATTGTTTGCCCTTCTAGAATTCAATTTAATAAGCCTTTTTATGGGTTTCAGGAAGGGTTCTTTAGAGAAGTAATGGCGTTTGACACCATAGTTTAGGTGTAAAAGACACAAGGTAGCACATTAATAAGAAAACTTTTAAAATAACAGGTTCATAACAAGTAATGTTGTACAGTTTAATAATTTTAGTAATGTATATTTGGAGGACAGTATGTATGGCATTGTAAGTGCTTTGATTTCTCTGCATTATTAAACACTCTTGTTTTGGCACCAGCTTTGCCACTGGACCCAACATTTTCAGAGTTCACATTTTAACTCTGAATATGATGTCAGAAACGAATATGATTTTTCAAAATAATATTTTCTGTAAATACCACCCCTTTGTTGTTGATAAAATATGATTTGGTTATAGTTTGGTAATAGTTATCTTTTTAACCTATACCACCATTAATATTATAAAATAATATTAATGGTGGTATTAATTATATAAATATTAATATTATAAAATACTCTCATTTAAGGAACATTTTCTATTTATGAATCCAATGGTTTTAGACAGTACTTTTAATTTTTATTTAAAAAAAAATTAAAAATTAGTGTTTTTTTTTTAAATTTATTTTAATTTTTCAACAAAGGGTTATGAAGAAAATTAATTTTTTTCTTGTTGTGTAGAGGAGCTGTGGTTTCAGTTGGAAACAAGTGATAATTATGTGAAAACTAATTAAAAAAGTGTAAATGAAACTATTTAAATATCTTATATTGAGAGACATAGCATTCTGAAGGATTTCCCTAGCTTCAATATTGAAGGTGTAAAACAAGTTTATAAAAGTTGGTTTGTTTTTGTATTTTTTTAAATTATATCTTGCTTCATACAAAATTACATAAAACACTCATGTTTTCAAAAATTTGAACATTATTAAAAATTTAATTTCGAAGAATACACATTATTAAGAAAAAAAATTACATCTTCAGTGATGTAGGGGAGAGACTTTTTATCTTTAAGATTTTTAGATATGTTGGAGTGTTAATGAAATTCCAATCTTGGCCAATTTTATAAGTATAATTTGCTCAATTCCATACACACACACAAGAAAAATGAAAGGAAAAAAAAAGAAAGAAACAGCCATATTTGAGAAAAATTCAGTTGTTCATTAGTTTACTTCCGGGCGCATAAACTGCCAGGGTTATTAGCCACATAAGTGCAATGCATGTTTACATCGAGGGAAGTGGCACCGAACTACGCCGCTGGACGGCGAGATTCGGCACCGACCTGCCCGTTGGCTTGCGGAGTTTTCGTCAACCAGGTATTTCCCACCGGCGGGACACCGCCCCAACCGGAACAAACTCTAAGCTGCTGACGTGTAGTGCATTTAAGTGTAAATTTGTGTTAGTAAGGGGTAAGATAAAAGGAGGGGGACGGTTAACATCGCGCTCTGTCCGTGGCCCGTTTGTTACTCCTGGCATATATACTCTTTGACTCCTGGGAGTTTCACGTGTTGATAGGAGAAACCTCAGAAAACTGCCGATCTGGACAGCTGGGCGCTACGATTCTCCTCCAATAAAATATGTGCAATACCCCCCCCCCCCCAAATGGAGATCTTTCAAATTCGAGAGTTTGGCGACCTCAACCTGACTGTTCGGGATTTTTTTGTTTGTGTGTGTGTGTGTGTGTGAGAACAATTCTATGGTACGTGTAGGCGCAAATCTGTTCAAACAGAAAAGTTTGCGACAAGGCTCTTAGAGAAACAAAAAGACTACCGTTTTCGCTATCAACCTATCGAAGACCGTCAATCGTGAATTCCTGAACTACCCACTACGTTCACGAGAAAGTAATTTACTACGTACAGAAGCAGGGAAAAAATTCTGTCCAATTCAAGAGTTCACAATACTTTCTCTTAGTAAACGACGAAGTAAAAATTATTATTATTATTCCTGTTAACCTCATCAATAATTAACAGCAAAATACAAATATCATTAAATATATATAAACAGAGTTTCTTACTGGCCGTTATTTTTTCTGCCAGTATAGTTGGAATGGATTACCATCATTTACCTGTCATTTGCTGTTATGGTGTTAGGAATCTTTACGCCGCCGTACGTACACAGTCTGCAAAAAATCAACTTTCGCCGCCAAATGGTGCACGCATGCGCAGAACGGTGTGCTGTAGGGGTTCGCGTCAGCGTCACAAGGGGGCGTGCGTGCGAGTGCGCTTGACAGTCGTGCAGCAGCTGCTGGGGAGCGAGGTCTGCATTGCTCCTGGAACTCCTTCGCCCGTCGCGCCGTCCACCCCCATCCACCAGAGTCAAGTGTCGACGACGACTCGGCGACAATGGGGAAACGTCTGCAAACCGTCGCTGCCATGGCTTGCGTTAAAACGCTACTTATGCTGTTCAACTTTG